ATAAGGAGTGCATGTACTCAAAGATGAAAGGCTCATGCTGATGACCGCAAGATGTAGCCTAGATATTAATGGCATCATCCTCATTGATCTGTAATGTTAACTAGCTCAGTGGTGCTAGGTGAGCTAGCAGTAGATGCACGCTTTCTTCTGCGTGGTGATATGGTTAGCCGGTGTAGTTTGGTAGAAAGAAAATAAATCCTACATAAAACTGCTCACAACAAGGCCTGTGGATTATCTTGAGTAACCAGGTCATCATTTCTGGAAAGAGACATTGTTGTAGAGCACCACAAGCCAAGTGCCATCAATGTCCATTATATTCGAGAGAAGGCAGACATCTCTATGGCCGATATCTCCGACACTCAGCTACTCACACCAAATCAATCTAGATTAATGATAGCACTAAAGGGTAAAAGGAAAAATATGTATATCTTGATCTGGGGGTGAACTGTCCCTTTAAAGTGAGGCGTTATTGCAGAGTCGACTGCCGGGCAGATTCCTGATAATTAGATTGCTAATGAGCAGGAGGGAAAAACAAGGGGTCGTGTGTGTCCGTGTCAAAGACATCGCACCTTTTACAGTGACCTCCACAGCAGGAGGTGAAGTGCTACTGCCTGTACCATTTGCAGGTATTTCAGCCTTTTCTACCCGAGGAGACTGGCTGATGACCAAACTCAGCAGAGGGGCAGAGAAGAAAGCCTCTGAGGGCTCATGAATGGTCACCCCCGAAATCCATTAAGAGCTTATTCAATTACCTGACAGTCACTCACTGTAAGCATGTGAAGAAATGTGACGTCTCCTAAAAGTCTCTTTGAGGTGGTCGAATAATTGCATTTGGATCTAAAGAGAAACACCTAAAACGCAGTGTGTGTGCTTATTTGTGAGCTCCTATATGCAACACTGGATGCACTCCAGTACCAATTCAATGCTCCTAACTTTTTTTTTTACAAGAGAGAAATTTGACAAACAGCCAGGGCTTGGTCTGAGACCCAAACAAGGCATCCAAGTAAATAACCCCTGACATCCAAAACAAGCGCCATTTCTGCACAAAGTTCAAGTTTAAAACAAAGCTCTCTTTCAGCAACGCAGCTCCTGACTAAATTCCCATTTCCCACCCATAAATTGATAATTGATTTAAAAAGAGGACTCTACAGACAAGTTTGCATGCTTACGTGTGGTTATCATTAACAAGCAGGAGTGTTCTGTGTAATTTCATTTAGTGCATGTGAATCCTGTGCTCCCAATGAATGTGGGAAAAAGACAAACAGCGACTTAAAGATAGCTCAGTTTCTCCACTAATAGAATTTAAACAAATCAAACACAGACACACACGTGTTAAAAATAGCATAATTAGCTTTCCTGAAATGGGAAGTCCCGGGAAAGCAACATGTGTACAAAAATTTCCTCCTATAAAAAACAGGTAAGGGAAAGTCTACAAAAAGAAAGACTCCAGTTTACCTTAAAGACTGTGCAGTGAAAACAGAATGGAAAAAAGATTTGCATCTATTTTCACACAAAACAATACATCTACCATATTTACCCTTCTTTCCAATGGCAGTTCCAAACCCTGCAAGAGTCAATGACAGCCTTGCAATGCAAACACAACCTCTAACCTGAGGGGAAAGTCAGTGTGACAGACAGAAATGCCTGAGCCTCTCAGCGGCACGCAGCCACTGGTTTAATGATTTGTCTGCTGCTGGTGAATGATCACACAGCAATATCCTGTTCTGGCTAGCTCTGCGGGCCCCCCCTGAGGGTCTGGCTGACATAATTCTGGCTTGCCCGGGTGCCACTGAAGCGCCAGCCAGCCCATCATATTGACAAGATCCGGGTGGCTGCCCCCATGCCTGATATGACCTAGCTGAGGACCTGTGGAATCAAAGTCGATGAGGCAGAAGAATTACTTACTGAGGGATGTCATAGCCTATGCATTTCGGTGAGACGCTAAGCGGTAGAGGAGGGCCGCTAATGAAGCAGTGGAAAACAGATTTAGAAAATACAACAGCTGTATTTAAGGGGAAAACTAAATAGCTGGCATGTTATAAAATTCCAGAGTGCTTATGCAATGTAAGCCTGTATATAACATGAGGGGTGTTTCCTTACTCCTAAGTGAGGAGCATTCAGTCCTTTAATCATATGAGTGGCTCATATGACTCTGACTCTGATATATAGGCTCATAATGAGCCGGTGTCAAATGTTAAAAAGAGTGTGTGGGAAAGACAAACACTGCAATTTCACAAATTCTTATGTTTATCAGGAACCTTGCTGCAACTAATTATACGTTTCATTAGAAATCAATTTATAGATTATTTTCTTGATTAATAATAAATCACAGTTTCCTGGAACCCAAGATGACGTCTCCCATTAGCTTTTTTTTGTATGTCCTACAGTCCAAACCCCCCAAAATATTCTTTAACTTAAGACAAGGGAAAGCAGCAAATCCTCACATTTGAGAAGCCGAAATCATCAATTTTTTTGCATTTTAGCCTCAAAAATTATTTCAGCAAATAATCAATATGGAGCTGAAACAATTAGGTGATTAAAGTAATAGTTCACCCCCAAGTGACCATTTGAGTATCAATTCCTCTGCTTCACAAGGCTGTATTCGTGAAGAAAACTCGTATGTGTCCAGTGAACGAAGAATCCAAAAAACGGAGAAAATTCTTGATGAATTGAAGTAAAAGGGGTCTTCGTTCACTAACCTGTACCGAACTATATAAAGACATCCATTAACAAACTGTCACTCAACTTGTGCGATATAATCCTCTTCAGAGCCAGACTCCACTGACAAAAAATGTAATTTTACCTCGCCGAACACGTGAGCTGCTGGGCTACCTCTGCCTCAATCAGTTAGTTAGTTTGTGTTATTGTATGACTCTGATGAAACTAACCCTTTAAAACACCAAAGGGGTCAAAAGGGCTGTTCTGTGTTGTTTTGGAAGTACCAAGCATACAACTGAATAAATGATATAGGTGGGAGGAAAAGTATCGCAATATTTTTGTGTGGCAATATTGTATCGTCACACAGTGCCAAGTATGAATTTTTCAATTGTGTTAATTATCAATTCTATAAATACAAATTAAACTTTTGAGAGCCTAGTACTTGAGTTATATAATCAGCTGCTTTTTGGTCCAATGCATACATTTTGCTGCAAAAAAATAATGACTGAGGCGAGTTGAGCAGACTGAAAACTTTTTCTTATTAGATCCAACAGATGGTGACAAAGTTTTTTCTTAAAGTTTTTTTTCTTAAGATTTTACCGCAATATTGAGCATATCGCAACACATTTAAAATTGCAATAATATTGTATCGTGATTAAAGTATTGTGATAATATTGAATCGTGGAGCCTCTGGTGATTCCCACTCCAAATAAATGAGACGTGCATTACACTGCGCAAGTTGTGTGAGAGTTTTGCTGTGTTACACAACGAGGCAAATGACTTAAATTCATCAAGATTTTTCTCCATTTCTGGATTCTTCATTCACCAGACGCATGCAAGATAAACACAAAATCAACGTAACATGGAGTAAATATTAAACGGTCATTCCGGGGGTGAAGTAATCCTTCAAACAATTAATCAATGGACATAAAATTACAATTGAAACTTGTTTTCAAAGCAGAAATGGACGCTCTTCAACTTCTTAAATGTGAATACATGACAATAAATTGAACATCTTTGGGTAGTGGTTCAGACAAAATAAGCTAAATGGAGTTGCCCTCTCTGGTTTTCGAAATTGTGATGGTTATTTTGCTCGAACTTTTTAATGTTATAGAGCACGTTTCATTGACTGAGAGAGTAATCAGCAGATTGATCAATGATAATCAGTTCACTATAATTGAATTTAAAAAAGCAGTCTCACATTTGAGAGGCTGGAATGACCTTATGTCAGGCATTTTTGCTTCAAATCAATTTTCTGTCAATCAACTAACTAATTAATTGTTTCAGCTGTAATCCGAATCAATTCACATTAGAAGTGGGGCTTGTGAAGGAACCCATCTGTCCTTCGGTCTCTCCAAAGCCTGACTTCATTGCAGGGTTTAAGAAGGTCAAGAGACAGACCACGGTGATGATGGTGTACTTTGAATTATACTGCAAGGAGCCAAGAGAGTCACACAGAGACACAGGGACTTGAGTTAGCCAGGCCAGAGGGCAAATGGTGAGACAGACAGCAGCTCCATAACCTCTTATTACTCTCTCCAGTCCACAAAGCACCACAGCAACTTAGACTAGACATGCATGCAGGTGAAAGGTTTATGATCATCCTCTGATGGCTCCCAGCTGCACTGGCCTGCCCTCCTACCCAGGCTCAAGATGCCTTCCAGGCTGCTACACAAACATATCATGAGACACACAGCGGTGTATGCAGCAGGGGTTTGGATGGTTTGATGCTCCAGCCAGTCTTCATATAAACTGTGGTAACGTGGCTATGTGCTTCAGTGCTGTCAATAAAAAGTCTTTTGTTGCTGCAGTCAAAGAGCACCCTTGATTTATGCATGCCAAGGGTAGAAACCCCTGAGTGACCTCTGAGTGCCAGAATGGCATTTTCAAAGTGCAAGGGGAGTTTAATCTTTAAAAAGATTTGTGTGAGCACGGCTGGTGAACACGTAATATTATATTCAGGAGGTATTTTGCGTTTCAAGGACGGTGACAGCAGCGAGTGCGTGGACTCTTGGAGCAGCCAGTCGTCCGTTAACATCTTAGTTTTTACGCACCTCGGCTTTACAACGTCGCGGGAAAGTTTTTTAAAAGTTTTTGCGACGTGAAAACGGAGAGAAACGTCAATTATAGCGATGTTTTTAAATTCTTTTGGGTCTCGGTGGGGGTTTGGGCTACAGTGCAACAAGTGCAGCTGAGCGAGTCCGCGACAGCACGCATTTACACGAACAGCGGGGCTCAAGCTGCTGAAATAACTGAGCAATTTGAAACAGGAAAGTCCCGACGCTTCTCTGCTAGCACCGACCAAACTGTGCACTGGAGTTATAACTTGTGTCGTTACTCACCGTGGAGAAGGTTTCCTCTTTGTCCCGGTGTGTACGGAGATGTGCGTCGGTACAGCAGCAGCAGCAGCAGCAGCAGCGTGACAAAGTTTGGTTGGTCGCTCTCTCTCAGCTCAGCATGGCGGCTGGGGCCAGAGACTGGATTCAAACCTCTCCGGGCTGTGATATCAACAGACAGGGGGAGGGTGCTGGGTGCAGGGTGCTGGGTGCAGGGGGAGGAGGTGCTGGTGGTGGTGAGAGACCCAGTGGTGACAGAAGTACTCAAACCTTGTATTTAGTAATACTCGATTACAAGTAAAGGTCCTGCCTTCAAATTTGTACTTAAGTGAAAATATTCATTATGTAGAATGCTCAATTTCAGAATAATTTATACTGTAATATTAGATTATAATTATTGTTGTGTTAATTTTTACTTTAATGTTGCAGCTGGTAAATCTGATAATTATGTTACATAATGCTGGGTAGCTTGTGAATCAATAAAGTCTTGCCTTAATCAATAGTAACGCATTAAAACTGATAAGTTGACTACATTTTATAATATTAATCAGAATCTGCAAAGTAACTTTAGTTACTAAATAAGTGTAGTGCAGTGGAAAGTACAATATTTGCCTCTGAAATCATGAAGTAGAAGTATAAAGTAACAGAAAATACCAAAAAACTTGTACAAGTGAAAGTATGTAAAAGTCATCCATTTTATACAGCTTTAATCAGACTTTTGCTCCACTACATTCCAGAGGTAAATGTCATACTATACAGTTATCTCTTAATTTGCAGATTTAAAAATAATCGACAAATTAATTTGATGTATCGGTATTACATAAGTAAAAGATCTGAGTACTTCCTCAAGAGTCCAAGAGTGGATAAGAAAAAAAAAACTTTAAACATTAAAAAAAATATATATTTCACGAAGTTATTGATAAATATGTTAATAAATTAAACTACAGGCCTACTGAAACCCTCTGACGGAAAGTAACTAAGTATTTTATATCAATAACTTTACATTGGTACAATTTTGAGGTAATTATATTTTGCTTAAATATTTGAATTTTTATGCTACTCCCCTACTTTTAGAGGTAAATATTCTGAGTTTTACTCCACTATATTTATATGCAGCTGAAGCATGGTCACATTGTGGATTAAAAAGTCAAAGTATGATGCATTATTATGTAAAACTGACACAATATAAGTAGTAAGTTAAAATTAGCTTGGCCTTCTCCGGCCACAGGATTAAAACAATGTTCATGTGTTAGTATGAAATATAATAACACTCTGAAACAGCTGTTCTGCACTGCTCACAGAACTTCTGTACTTTTACTTTTTTATTTTTATGCAGGACTTTTTGAAAGGCTTCTTTTTACAGATATGTAATTTGTGTGGAGAATAGCTTACTAATCCCTTTCATTTTAATTCACTCTTTCAAACCCTGCAGATCTCCAGAAATATGAGTGAGGACATGACCTCAGTGTCCTCTGTGGCAGCCGGTTACAGCAGTCCTGGTGAAGAGTCAGTTACCTTAAACCTTTGGCTGAGGACACCCTGTAGGTGGGGCCAGTGGGTTTAAAAGGTCACTGTTGGAGGTCAAAGGTTACACAACATTTTCCTAAAGGAGAAGTGAATCAAAAACACAGTGGAGGAAAGACAGGCTGACCCTTGTCTCATTGTGCAGGGCAGAGGAGGAGGGAGAGGGGCTTTCCATGGCACTGCGGCCTGAATACAATACCATCTTTGACTGAAAGACAGATTGCTGCTGGTGGAAGATAGAACAGCGTCACATTCTACCTCTGTGGCTGCTTTGTGGGCTCACTGAATAACAAATGTTGGGTAATTTACCTGCCCCGGTTGAGCTGCGGTAAGCCCATAATGCCCTTTTTCTTCGCCGTATCCTTAAGTATGCCAATACTCCCAGGCATCATCCGCTATACTACAAATTGTTTATTTTCATATCAGACCCTGGTGATTTGAGAGCTTAGGGTATGAAGGCTGGCTGGAGTTAAAAGGGGACGGTAAGTGCTGCCTGAAATGAATACGTAAAGCAGCTGGGTTTATCTTCACTCTGTGACATGTGCTGCTAAGAGAAAACAGGTGACCGAGGAATGTGTGCTGAAACCCAAACGTAATACTGGTGCTCAAATGATTTGTCACCACTTAGACAAATTCACATTTTCAAAGATATATTATTATGTACTTACCTGTTTTCTATATGTACCTGTTTCTTGTGTTGCTTGTCCCCCTTTTTATATTTATTTTATTTTTTATATTTTAAATTATACTCTGCATAAGAATGACATTTAATGCTTAACTTGTAGATGTTAAAGAAAGACAGACACAAAGACACCACACAGTGAAGCTTATTTTAATGCTGCCTTAGATAAGAATATCAGATAAACACCCCAAATGTAAATGTAACAGGAACAGTGAGTCACTCACACACACACAATGGATGAGAAAGTAATAGAGTTAGGTGTAGATTTACAGTGTAAGTACATGATCTTCATGCCTGAGTTCTTCAGACACACCAGTTGGATATATTTAGAGTCCCTAGCTGGTGTATCCATGCTACAAGGCAGACCACAATTATTCACAACACTAGAAGGGCCAGCGCTGGTCTGAGATCAGTCAAGAGGGGAGTGCGTGTGTGTCGGCTGGTACAAGATAGGATCGACACCACAAGAGTCAGAGGTCGGTCCACTCATAGTAAGAGTATAGGCCATAAACTCTAAATTTTGATACAACCCCATATGGTTTTGAATACAAGATACTTATGAGGTCTCGCAGCTGTAAACAGAGGTTAAAAGAGTCAGTGCTTAAAACTGAGGTAACCTTCAGTGATTACTAACTGTCAGCTAATCAGAGACAGGTCTTCCCTTTCCCCCGCTACTGAAGAAATGTAACAAACTAATATTACAACAAGCAATAAGACAGACATTTGCTCAATAATTACTTGTGGTATTGTTTTATTATGTTTTTTAGACACCTGATAGTTGAGCAACTATCTTAAATCCCATGAAACAGAAATAATTCCTATGAGACAAACATACAGAAGTGGAAAAGGGCAGGAGTTTGTTGTACCTTCTCACTTGAGTAAATGCAATGGCATATTTTTTTTCATATGTAAGCTTATTTATTAGCTCACATATTGCCCTAAACTGATAATAGTTTAATATATAACTTCTGGTCAGGTTAGTGAAAGACTTTAGGAGGTGACATGATTATTTTTGCAATAGAAAATAACTATGATTGTATGTGAGAGTGCTACAGGTTGACTTACCCCATTGTGGCAAAGCAAAGCAGCACCATCTAGTGGCAAATGTCGGAAATGTCATCCATATATTGAATGAACCATTGCCCTGCTCATGCATATGGTTGTATCTTGCACGTGCACAGATCCTATAGGTCTCCCAAGTTGTTGCTTTAGTTAGAGGCCCAACGAATATTATGCGGCAACATATATTTAAATTGTTACATCAGACACTATGGAGGGTTTGTGATATAGTGCCAGAGGGGATATTGGATTGCTTTCACCGGAATTTCCGCCTTATATCCAATAAAGCACTTAACTGCGCCCCCTGGCGGGCAGTGTGATGTAATTGACCTCAGGAAGACTTTTGAACCCCACCTGACTTGAACCATAACGTCAGAACTGAGCAATAGCACCACATCTGTATATGGAATCTGGCTGCAAGTTAAAATAAGGTGAATTTGTAATTAGTTACCGAGGATGTCAGACAAATTATTGATCTGACATGCTTGCACAGGGACAAAGAGGTGAGGCTGTGAAACACTACACTCTTTGACTGTGCAGATGATTTGGCTGAAGTGTATTATCTAAAAACATATATCACATATATCACAGCAAATGTCTCTTACTTTGAATCTTCAATTAAAAGCCTAGTCCTAGTGACAAGCCCAGTCCCTTTTACTAGTGTGGTGTAGCTACACATTTTGACAAATAAAGGCCTGTCTCAATTAGACACCTAGTCTGGTTGCCAAGCAGTTCATTTTTATAGAGGTTGTTCGGATGTATAAAAGTGGGTTGTTCATTACCTCAAATTATGTGTCCCTTCCTCAATTACCCTGTAAGTTATATATATTCCTTTAGTCCATAAGTCATCAGATCAAAAGAATCAAAAGGGTTTTTTTAAAGATGAATCCAAGTTGTGAGCATTGTTTCAACAGGATGGGGTTGTGTCGGTATGCCGGGTGACATAATCCTCAAGTGTCCTAACTCTCTTCTCTGATGCACTGTCAGCGCTAGATCAAATGAATGATTCATAATTAATATATCATCTGAAGCCTCATTTTTATACAAGTAATATTCATACTGGTTTAGATAAACAATTTGATTATATTTCCTGATCTTTGCTGAGTAACAGTTTTGTGTGAACAGACTTAAAGGCCTGTCTCAAATATAGGCCTGTTGATTTCAGTAGTTCAAGAAAATAGTAGCCCAGGCTACTAATTGAAGTATTTAATTCACATCAATATAGTCTTGATTAGGGTGGCATGGTGGTGTGATGGTTAGCACTGTCGCCTCACAGCAAGAGGGTTCCCTGTTTGATCCCGGGTGTGGGAGCCCTTCTGTGTGGAATTTGCATGTTCTCATTTTCCATCATAACCCAGACTTCACAAAGCAACAGGTATCTCTTGTTGGGCCCATAGGGACTTGAGTAGGGAACCAGAGGTTTGTTGGTGCAAGTCCCTGTCCAGACTGAATATGAAGCATGGTTGGAGAGGTGCCAGTTTGTCTCCTGTGCACTGCAAAGGTGCCCTTGAGTAAGGCACCAAACCCCCAACTGCTTGGGGTGCCTGTCCATGGGTAGCCCCTGCACTCTGACATCCTTCCATTCAATGCATGTATAGGTACTGTTTGTGCATGTGTGTGTATTTCCGGCTTGTGTGTATATGATAACAGTGTGAAATAAACTTGCCCTCTGGGATTAATGAAGTATATCTTCTTCCTCTTCTTCTTGTTTTTGTTCTGTCAAATTTAACAGCTTTACAGTCTGAGAAATACATTCATTTTTATCTTATTTTGTTACTTAAGCCTTTGTCATATAATCTATAAAGAAATTACAAATGTACTGTGAGTTGCTATGGCTTTAAATATTTCATCACCAAATATAGCCCATGTTTAGAGTGACATT